TTAACTCCTGTCCTGGCTTACTTCCCCCTCCCCCAGCCCCACTCCAAACAGGGTTTCTCTGTGTAACAGCTCTGGCTGTCCTGAAATTTTCCCAGTAATCAGGCTGGCCTCAAACTCACGGAGATCCACATGCTGGGACTAAAGGCGTGCACTGCCGGACGTGGCTTTGAATTTTTGTTTTGTTTTTTTGAGACAGGGTTTCTCTGTGTAGCCCTGGCTGTCTTGAAACTTGCCCTGTAGACTAGGCTGGACTTGAACTCACAAGATTCACCTACTTCTGCTGAAATCAAAAGTATGCACCACCACTTCTGCCTTGGTTTTGAATTCTTAATCCTCCTGCCTCAGCTTCCCAAGTTTTACTATTGCAGGCATGTGCCACCACACCTGACTTTTTGCCCATTCTTTATAGATCTTTTACCCGATTGTCTTCAAGTCAGTTCCTTGTTCATCCACCTACCCATTCATTTAATTATTGCACTAATAAAGCATCCATTCATGCACTTATCTGTCATTCATTCAACAGATGTTTCCTGAGCATGTCCTTTGTGCTGGGCAGTGTTTGGTCAAATCCTTGGTAAAATGCCAGTTCTGGTGGGAAGTGCACACACTGGGCATGGACATCTCTGCTGTTTTCCTTCTGAGAGCGTCTTTTCTTTCTTTCTTTTTGTTTTTGTTTTTGGAGTGTGTGTTTTGTTTGTTTTTCAAGACAGGGTTTCCCTGTGTAACAACCCTAGCTGTCTTGGAACTTACTTTACCCACCAGGATGGCTTTGAACTCACAGAGATTTGCCTACCTCTGCCTCCCAAGCACTAGGATTAAAGGGGGAATGGGGACCTGGCTTTCATAAAGCCTCGGTGAGTTGAATGTACACAGAAGCCCAAACCTGTATGTGTAGTTGCATGCACAAGTGTTGGAGGTGTGACAAAGCCTTCCTCATTGGCAGCAGGCGCCACGTGTTTGGATTTTCTCAGTACCACAGAGAGCAGGTATAAGGAGCCCACAGGTCATAACCATGCTTCAGTTCCTAAGAGTTCACCCGCCCACGGTAAGGCTGCTTCTCCCAAAAATTTTCTCGTATCTTCCTGTTGGAATGAATCTCTGCCTTCTATAATCCCAGAGAAATCTGCCAACACTTGGGAGTGTTTCCACCTGGCTCAGCTCCTATCACTGGGTTTCTCCTCCCTTAGCTGTCAACGACCACACCAGGAGCTCACTAACCATGTCAGTGCAGACTGCCATGAATTTAGCAGACCCTGCTCTGCTTCCCCAGCTTTCACCAGCAGACCACAGGCAGCTTAACTGGTCGGGATCAGAGCATTCAACTTCCCCTTCCCCCTCCCCACTTCATCCCCAGCAAATCTAACATGTAAACAAATGTGCACTTGTCTGTTGAGGGTCTTTCAGGATCCCCGTGGCGTGGCGTTTAGGGTAAAACCACAGATCCTTCCAAGGTTCCACCAGGCTTGGCGGGGTGGGCTATCTGAAATCCTCTGAGCTCCGACACTGGGAATCCCGTCTCTACTCAGAACCTGCCATGATCTTTCCCGCTTGCTGGCTTTGAAGCTGCTGGAACTGCCCCTGCAGTGTCTGTCCATCTTTACCCACCCCATCCTCAACTTACTTTCTCTGACCTTCATTCTCTATGACCTGCCTTGGCTGTACACTGGGCTACCTCCTTTGGGAATGCCCGTCCTTTGCTGTCAGACTACCATGGGGTAGGCTTTCCATGAATGTGCGAGGACCAGAGGCAGGATTTTCTCTGGCTCCTCGTTCCCTGAGGGCTGGGCAGGAGCACTCGCTCAAGGCTCTTGACCTGATCCCTAAGACTACAAACCAAACCAAACCAAACCAGTAGTGCTGTGGCAAGAGGTGGCAGGAGGGAACGCCTTTTCCTGCTTTCCATCCCTCCATCCCTGCAGCTTCATGCCCAATCCACCCAGGCTGTGTTCACACCAGACCACAGTGGACAATAATTTAAGCAGTGTCTGCCAGAAACCACTGCTTTCAGCACACTTGTGCCTGCCTTCTGCACCTATCTGCTAAAGACGTAAAGACTAGGAAATTGTTTGCAATAGGTTGGACAATCTTAGGTTCCAACCCTGCTTCCATCACCTCCCAGTGGGCCCCTAGTCATAGGTCTGTTTCTTTATCTGTAAAATAGAGTTGATCATATAGCTGCTTCCCATGATGTTGCCAGAACCCAGCAAGATGCTGCTGCCTTTCTTAATCACTCGTATATTATCTGAGGTGGAGTTTTGCTTAGTACCTTGGTTGGTCTAGAATGCTTTAATTCAGCTGATGCCCCTGAGTAGCAAAGACCACAGGCACTTCGTGCCTGGCACATGGTACACCTACTGTCAGCAACCAGAGTTGAAATAGTAGCTAATAGGGCTCTGTTTTTTATAGAGCCAGAAGTCAGTTTGCTAACTTTTGTTAAGAACTCCAGAAGTCTGTATAGGTGACTCAGTCACAGGCCATGCAAACATCTACACACATTTAATTGGGTGCTCGACGGAGGGCACTGTAGGAGATAAGTTCCAGAGCCACAAAGATCCACCAGACCCACTTCCTGCACTAGTGAGGAGAAGCAGGCAAATCCACAATCAAAGGGCAGCTGGGCACATGGCAGGGCTGCCCAGAGAGTGAGGACAAGAGACTGTTTCAGGGTAAAAGTGCAGAGTGTGCCATGGAGGAGGTAGGGTGCACTCGAGGAACCCTGGGGTGGACGGAAGGCAGCATGCATGGAGACACCACTCCCTCGGTCTCCTCTGGGTGTGACACTCACTGGGGGAAGCCAGTGAAGCTGAACTCTGGGGATAACAGACTGGCCCTTTGCTGTATCAGACCTGCTCAGGGTACACGCAGACCTTCCATAGAGCTCCCGAAGCTCTGGACAGGTGGGCCACCCGAAGGAAGCCGCAGGAGACAAGCAGTAGCAGACTGCCCGCCGTTTCTTCACACCCACCTGCTTCCCTCACCAAGGCTGCTGCTGCTGCTGCTGCTAGAAGCCCAGGAGCCTGGGAATCAAGCCCTTGTCCTTGGGGAGGGGAAGGAGCAGCCTTCAGATCCCTCTTGGGGGTGTGGTCTCTGGAGACTGCAACCTCAGTCTGTTGGTGGGGACTACACACTTCCCCCTTATTCTTCAGACGAGTGTTCTGGGGTGGGGGTGACCCTCTGACCTCCAGACTGGTACCCCTTATATTCCAAAGAAACCCCTGGGAAAGAGCTTTAAGGAGCGAGGACTCCGGAAACCACAGATAAAGATGTAGCTGGGAGGCAGCTTGGGTCTTAAAAGATTCTGGGGTCCTTTGGGCACTCTTGGGGAGTTAGTCAAGCTCAGAGAGGCTCGATTCAGGTTCAGAGTCCAGGACGGAGATGTGGGTGCCTGGCCCTGGAGGGAGGGGGCCACCGGCAAAAGGGTCAGGCTGAGGGAGCAGGCGGAGCATTGGGAGTGGAGGGTGCTGAGTGGGGGTGGGAGGGCACAGGGTCCGGCCGGTGCAGGGGGGGGGCGGCCCCCAGGGAGGGGCATGCTATGTCTTTAAGAGCTGCCTGAGCGCAGGTTGCAGCTGCCTGGCCAGCCCGAGAGACAGCGGAGATTCATTACCCGTCGACACAATGACCATTGATGGCCCCGTGGCGTTATTCAAATCCAGTACCAATTGCAGCCGAGCCCCTTTCTCCGCGCCAGGCCCGTATTGTTGGAGCGGCCCACTAAAAGCCCGCCCCGGCCCTGAGCCGCCAGAGGCGCCCGCTCGGGTTCAGCCCTGCGCCTCGCCAGCAGCCGGCTCCCGGTCAGGCTCCCTGGGAGCTGCAGGTGACCCGGCGGCGCATTCCGGCGCTCCCCGCAGCCCAGGCTACCGCCACCAGCGACTCAGCCACAAGGAAGCAGAGAGCGCCCGAGCCGGTGCGTGCGCGGGGCCGGGCGGGGGAGGGGGCCCCCGTGAGTCCAGCACCCTAGACCCCAGGCTCAGAGAAGCCACCGGCCTCGGGCCCGTTTTCTGGATTCCCGGAGTCTGGGGGCAGGGAGAGGGGAGTCAGGGTTCCCTGGGCCTGACAGGATATTCCTCCAAACTGGGGTGGCCCAGAGACACAACGCGGGTTACTCTAGGGACCCTTGGCCACGGAAGGAAACAAGCTGGGGACGATGGGGATGCCCGTGCAGGGCTGGGATCTGCATGCCGGCTCGTCCACCTTACCGCGGGATGAGCTGCGACTGATGAGCTTCTGCAAGGTATTCCGACGCGCAGCTCCCAAGATCTGGTGTGCGCTTTTAAGGAGCCAGGCAGAACCCCGCAGGAAATCGGGGTCCTGAACTCAGGGGCTTCGCCACTGATTGTCCAAACGCAATTCTTGTACGAGTCTGCGGCCAACCGAGAATTGTGGCTGGACATCTGTGGTTGAGCTCCGGGCTCAACAGAAACGAGGTCCGCAGAGAGGAGCTCCATGCTGGGAGACCCCGGGGCGGCAGCTGGCAGGTCCCTTCACGTAGTGGCCCCAGATTGGCGCGCAAAGAAGGGTCACTAGTCCTTGTGACCAGCGCCGCCATCCTCATCCTCTGCAGGTGACCCATGTCGGCTGCAGGGTCCTCCAGTAGATCGCACCGGTTTTCCCGTTTTCAAATTTCAGCCTTAACGAAGCTGGCACACGGCGGCAGGACCCGAATGTGGTTCCTGCAGTCAGTCCTTGGCCAGAGCCGCAGTTAGTCGGGGGTGAAGGCAGATGCCAGCAGAATTCGTTCGCTAACTCATTTAGAATTTGTTCTAACCTGTCCCTTAACCAGTACTCCCAAACAACACCAACAAAAAATCCGAAATCAACCCGTATATCCCAAACCAGTCAAACAACCCCTCCCACAAGCTCCTCCGGACCGACTGATGGGCTGAGCCTCCCACCGCTGCCAGAAACAGAAAAGCTGAGGAATGATGCGCTCCCGCTGGGCAGCCACCTCTGCTTTCAAAATAAGAACTTGAACAAACGAATCCTTTTCATTAAAGAAAAATCTTCGGAGGTAGTGGGACTTGTTTATTTCCTCAAAAGCAAGGGCCATGAGTTGCAATGGGAGGGAGGCTGTTGGGCGCTGATGGGCCGAGTCACCTGCCTCTGACTCCTTTCTGCCAGAAACTAAAATGACCGGAGTGGACCAGGATGAAAGGGCTCTGGTCAATTTATGCGAAGGCACTGGCACCCCGAATGGGGAAAGCCGTTTTTCCTCAGCCCATCCTCCTGAGCTCTCAGTATTAACTGGGGTGCCACAGCAGCAGAGAAATCCCCTACCCACATCAGCTGCAGAAGGCATCCCAGAACTTATCTCAGTAGCTCAGCTCAGGAGGTACTGCAGGGACCAGGGACAGGCTGACCCTCTAAAAATGACAAACTGTGAGGATGGTGACAAGGCTCTTGGACCCAACACTGGCTTTCAGGTGCACCCAGCCAGTTCTCACCAGTAACCCCAACATGGCTGCTCCCACCCACACAAGCCCAAGGGTCTGCTCTGTGGCAGTGTCTGGGGAAAGCTCACCAACCAGGGGGTCATATGTTCTTCACTCCCCAACAATGGTCCACAACATTAGAAACTCTATCTATGTGGGGAAAGGAATTTCATTCTTACTGATATTTAACATAAAGCAACACTTAGGGTCAGATGAAGCTTTTTTCTGCAGGTCATGGAAGTCACGGGGCTCAGCAGTCTTACTTAGGCCACCCCTCTTCTGGGTTCTGGAACTGCTGACTGCAGTTGGCAGAACAAAGCCTAGGCTTAGACCGGCGGGTGAGAATGGCTCAGGATCTGGACTGATCATCAGGGTCTACACTCTCTTCTCCAGATGGCCCTACTGAACCACCCTCTCTGTGGAACAGTGCATGTGTGAGCCTTTCAGGTGAAGGCCATCTGAGCCTTTGGCCAGAATACAGCCATAGATTTGAGGAATACAGGGTACCACCAGTTTCTAAGGATGAAGCTCCAAGCAAGGCTAGTAAAAAACCTAGTCTCTTTATTTGCCCAATAAAGGTCCCCAGATTTCCAGAAAGGATGGAGGAAAGGGGGGCACAATCATCTATCTACCAGGTGCTGCACATTCAAACCTTGCTTGTTTCAGGAAGCTAGGAGTTATATACACATGGAGGCCCTGCCTGCTGTCTAAGGTTAGGTTACTTCCCTACATTCTCTCCCTAGCAGAATGAGTTGTAGACAGTCTGGAGAGTGTCTCAGGAGCCCATCTGGTAGCCTATGTAGGGGGGAGGCCAGCCAGGGTCAAGGGCTGGGGGGGAGGGGTGTGGCTGGAGAGCAGCTGCTGGGTGGAGGGAGGGAGGTGAGCAGTGAATAGGGGACCCCAGCTGGGGTTCCATAATGACATCAGTGGGGGACAAGCAGAGTCTTCAGTGTCCAGATGGGGAAACTGAGGCGGAGGCCCCTCTAATCTTTGGCAAGAGAGGGGCTTCTCATCAGTTACTCCAGTCCATCCATCTTCCCCATGAAGATCCCTTTCAGACAGTCACTCAGTGCTTAGATACACTTAGATATCAAGACACAGGAGTGGCAAGGCAGTCACTCAGTGCTTAGATATACCAAGACATAGGAGTGGCAAGCAGCTGGGTCACCTGGGCATAGAGCCCCCTCCACTCCTGACATATTACAGGAGCACCCTCCCCCACCTCTGCAGGAAGGAGTGCTGGGCTCAGGCATCTGCTCTCCCTCCCTGCTCACGTGCCTTGCCCAGAAAGGCTCATTTTTAGCACCTGGCCTCTTTTCCCTGCCTAGAGGGAGCTCAGGGGTACAGCAGAGAAGGAGGCAGCCAAGGGGACTGAGGACCTGGAAGCAGGGCCCAAGGAGAGGTGTGGTTGTCCTGTGTTCCCCTCACAAAGGTGCCTGGGCTCACAGAGGAGCCCTCAGCCGCCGTGCAGTGTGGAGATGAAGAGGATGCTGTCCTGGTCCTGCAGCTGGTAGTCCAGCTCCCCCTGGGGTAGGAAAGAGGGACAGGGACCATCAGAACATGGTCCGGGTCATTGCCACGTGTTGGAACAGGGAAGAGAAAGGTAAAGGTGGCTATTCTGGGAATGAAAGAAAAACCTCACCAGAAAAATGGAGATCTTACACACCAACCTTCAAATCTCCAGGATGGGTGCACTCCCTGCCTCCCTCCCCAGCGGCCATTCAATCCTCCTTATTTGAGGTGGAAGACAGGAAGAGTCCCATGGGGGGTGGGGTATGAATGAGACAGAGATCTCCCAGCCCCGACCTGGGCTAGGGAAGAGTGTCACCGGAAGAGTGTCACCGGAGGTACTGACCAGCAGTTCCCAGTCGGCATCGTTAATCAGCACCAGAATTCCTGGCCGCCTGTGGGAAAGAGGGTAGTGAGGGGCAGGAAGTGGAAGGAAGGAGGCTCAGAGCCTGTGGGTTGCAGGAGTGTGGGGGAACCTTTCCCCCTGACTTCTCACCAAGTGGAGGCTATAGTCTGCATAGTCAGAAAACCAGGTCAGTCAATCAAGGTCTTGAGGGCATCTTCAAGAAAACGGGCAAGGGTCAGCATCACCCATCACCCAGACTCCAGGCAAGGGTCAGCATCACCTATCACCCAGACTTCAGGCAAGGGTCAGCATCACCCATCACCCAGACTTCAGGCAAGGGTCAGCATCACCCACCACCCAGACTTCAGGCAAGGCATTTTACTTCTCTGAGCATCAGCTTTCATCATGTGAACACAGAACCAGTTATAAGGTCCGCCCCACAAAGATCGCTGAGGGATATAACAAAGGGCTTACCTGCCACTATGTCTTAGTAACCAGCAAAAGGGATCTATTTTTTCCAGTGTCTAATCTTACTCTCCTAGGCTCTGGAAAGGAAGGCTTTGGCTTCTAGGCCTCCAGGATACCTATTCTAGAGGAAGCACGCTCAGCTCTTCTGGGTCAAAAAAGGCTGCCATTGGCTCACTGCTTGAGAGCCAGTCGTGGTTGTACTGGCAATGGTCCAGGGAGCACTGGTGTCCTTGCAGGTGGCTTCCAGGACTGCTGGGCCAGAAACTGGAGACTGGAGAACAGTCCTAGCAGATAGGCTGACGAAAGAGTCTCCCAGTTTCATGGCCTGTCTCCTTGGCAGGAGACCATCCTTGTTTAGAAGTGGAATGACTTGGTTTTTGCTAACAGGCTGGAACAGGTGGGAGCTGTGTGTCTGAGTGGTATGTGCTGTGGTTGCCTGGAATCTCAGCTCTGTGATGTCTCACACTGTACCTACTGACCACAAACAGCCATTTCAAGGACCAAAGAGAAAATGGAATATTTTAGTGATATTTATTTAATTTTAAATTCTGTGTATGTGTGTACAGGTGAGTGCAGGTGTAGCAGAGGCTGAACGAGTCAGAGCTGGAGGGAGGGTGACGGGCAGTTGTAAGCTACCTGATGTGGGTCTGGGAATCAAACTCAGTCCTCTGAAAGAATAGTACTTGCTCTCAGCCGCCAGCCATCTCTTCAGTCTGGTTTGACTTTTAAGACAGATTCTTGCTATGTAGCTCAGACTATCCTCAAACTCGTGACAATCCTCCCACCTCAGCCTTTTGTTTTGTTTTGTTTTTTAGGGTCTTACTATATAGCCCTAGCTGTTCTAGAACCCTGTAGTAGACCAGACTGGCCTACAACTTTCAGAGATCTACCAGTCTCTGACCACAAAGAGCTGGTATTAAAGGTGTGTGACGCCACACCCAGGTAAAAGGGAGAATTTAGCTTCTCGGTCACCCTGGCCAACTTTGAGGGTTCAACCAGCCACAAGTGACAGCACTGATAAAGAATGCTTCTCACACGAGGAAAGGTCTGGGACCACTGTCCTAGATCAGCATGGCTTTCTTGGTACTTTCTGTACAGAGGACAGCTGAGGCTAGGAGAAGCAAATAACTCACCTAAGTTTCTGCATTCGGTAGTAACCAGAAGCGTAACGCAAACTTTTGGGAAAATTTATCAGGTTCTTTTCATACATGCTTGTAAGAACTCAAACAGGCTAGTGTGGTAATAAGAGAACTAGAAACAGACTAGAACACGGCTCTTTCCTCAGAGGAGTTTGAGAAAATAGGGGACTCAAGAGGATAAGATGTTCAGAACCAAAGGCTTAGACAACCTTCCCTCTCTCTGCCTTGCTCAGGAACGGGGGAAGGGAACTCACACACTCTCTCCCTGGATGAACAGCTCTGGCCGCTCTTTTAGCAAGTTCTTCTTGATCCAGACAAGGAGGTTCCGGATGTCCCCTAGAGAGGGAGGCACAGAACAAACCAAGGTCAAAGCCAACTCATTTCCAGGCCCCAAAGCCTTGCCCAGCACAGAAGAAAATGAACATGGGGCTCACAGGGCCAGAAGCCTGATTAGGAGAGGCCAGTGACTGTCAGGAGGGTCTTCAGAGAAAGCGGTTACTGCACAGCAGAAGGCAGTGGGAGGAGCTACAAACAGCAGGGACTGGAGCTGGAGAGAGGGCTTAGTGGGGAAGGGGAGGTACTGTTCTTTCAGAGGACCCAAGTTCAGTTCCCAGCACTCACACTGGGTGGCTCATGGCCACCAATGCCTCCAGTTCCCAGGGACCAATATCTTCTTCTAAACTCTCTATGCACTTACACATGCATATGCCCACACATATGTACAAATAATTAAAAGGATTTAAAAAAAAAAGAATTCAGAGACAAGGCTGTTTAGAGGGCATCAAAGAGCCCCTGCCACCTTTATCTCCCCTGCCAGTCCAGCTAGGGAGGCCTCAGCTTTGCTCCCAGGCAGGGTCTGCATAGATTTCCCTTTGTGAGGGAGAAAAACAACTGCTGAGCCGATAACATCAGTTAATTTCCTCTAGCAGAGGGAGACAAGGCTCCTCACCAGCAGACACTGACAAATCCTTGCTCACTCGGCCACTTCTGCATCACCCTGGGGGGTGGCTACCTTGCCAAGGCAAGAAGAGGTTCTGGGCTGCAAAGACCTCTCCTGTTCTGCCTCCTGGGATGGGCTCTGGGATGGCCACCAGCTTCTTTGTGCAGCATGTGGAGGCAGTGGTCTCCAGGGTTACCAGTAGCAAACTGGGATTGGTCTGCATCTACAAAGGCTGTGGTACCCAGGACCTCCACCACTCTTCACTCAGATTGTTTCTAAGACTCCTGGAGGTCCTGCTCTCACAGATGACTTGAGAACAAAGGGCCTAGAAAAACAAGTAGCATTTAGGGAGCCACAGGGAGCTTGTCCTGAGTCAGTGTCTTAGAGGGGTCAGCTGCCTGTAACTGCCCCCCGAGACAAAGCTCTGAGGCTAAGTTGAAGCAAGGTGAGAATGTGGCCTGAGCTACCCTGCCTAGAACACAAAGCCCTGGAATAATGGGCTGCTAGTACACAGGGAAGCTTCACTCTGTGAGCTTCACACTGCAATGCACAGGCAGAATCTAGCCTTGGGTAGGGCCAGGAGGTGTGAAGGTGCAGTGTGGATAAACTAGTCCTGTTTCTGATGACAAACATCCCACAGGGCAACAAGCAGTGTTCATGGACTAAAACTGTCATTTCCCAATTTAAAATTCTATTTCCCCCTGTGAGACAGGGTTTCTCTGTGTAGCCCTGGCTGTCCTAGAACTTGCTCTATAGATTAGGCTGGCCTCACACTCACAGATATTCGCCTGCCTCTGTCCCCAAGTGCTGAGATTAAAGGCGTGTGTCACCACAGCCTGGCTAAAATTCCCTTTTAACTAAGCCATCCCTAGGGCGAGGAAGAAGGGTGCTGCCTCCCTCCAGCTGCATTTGGACTCTTGGTGGACTCTTCTCCAAGGCCAAAGTTGCAGAGGCATCCCCTTGGCTCTGAATCCCCTTGGCCTCCATTTTGGCACTGTCTGGTGGCCGCCAGCCCATACATTTTGTGGCTATTTGATAGAACTATTGAAGTCTGACACATCTACCAGCTAGGCATCAGCCAGCCTCAGCAGCCAGGGCTGTGCTTGTGTTTGGACACGGAAGAACTGGGAAGAGGTTGGCCCAGTGACCACAGGCTATATCTGACAGTCCTGGCTTGCTGATACAGAATCTGGATTCTCCTGGGGAATAGTCCTGGCTCCCTTCAAAGAGGGGGCTTCTGCTCCACTCTCGAAAGCTTGGGAATAACGGAGGGATAGTGGTCATGTTGGGGTCATCCACGTGATGACACTGTCATGGACTCCCAGAGGGGTGGCTGGGGGATGAGTCTGCTGCCCAGTGCTGGCTCATTTATCATGATGCTCCTATTTGCTGAGGTCACTCCCTCCCTCTTCTGCCTGCCCCCAACTCCAGGCCCGCCTACATTTTTGATAGCATGTTACCATGGTGAGGCTGCTGCATCACAGCAGCCTGTATTGTCCCTATGCCTGGATTTGGGGGTGGGGAGAGGTGGAACTCATGGCTCCCTTCTCAGGCTGCAAGGGCCACTCAGCCTGGCCTGAAACGCACCCCTGGGACATCTTGCTTGGCTTGCTGAGGCCCAGACAATATGCAAATAGACTCCAAGCCAGATGGTCGGCTTCCAAAGGCGCCCAGGGGAGGAGGAAGGGTTAAGCAGAGTCAGGGATGGTGGCTTGGGGTGGCTCTGGGATAGATGGGGGTAAGGAACCTTCCTTTCGTCTTCCCACTATCTTCCTTCCTTCCCACTCCTCCTGAGCATGGTCTCCCTCCTGCAGGCGCCATGCACAGGACAAACATTTATTGAGCAACTATCCTGTGATGGCTCTCTAGGGTGATGGTGGCCAGCAAGATGGACAGAGAGCCTTCCTTGTGAGGGCAGCAGAGGTGGCAGACATTATTTAATTAGCTGTGGTGCATGCTAACTCCTTTGGGAGCAGGAAGAGCCTTTCCAAGAGTGTTAACACTGAAGCTTTCGGCCTGAAGGATGAATGGGCTTGGGTGGGGGAAGTGTTCTGGACAGAAGGAAGCACATATGGGAAGAGCTGAGGCACCGCGCAACTGGCAGGTTCGAGGCAGCAGAAAGGACAAGGCAGGAGGAACAGCATTAGAGCCCCTGGGAAAGCCTGCTCCAAATGAGGTTGCTCCCGCCTCCTAAAGCCTTGTGTGTCTCCAAGCTTCTCTGCCCCACCACAACATGGCACTCCCACTGCTGCTCCCAGAGTGGAGTCTGAGGGCTCAGGGATGTTGCTCTCACAGCTCTGTCCCAAGATGTCAGTGAGAGAAGGTCACGGTCATAATGGTTTACCTGAGACAAGAGTCTCAAGTAGCCGGGCAGACCGTAAACCTGCTGTGTGGCTAAGAACCAATCCTGGAGCTGCAGGTCTGCATCACTATGCCTGCCAGTTTTAGTTTTGAGAGGGAATCCATCCTTCCTAGTCATATGACCTTAGGAAGGGACTTCTCAGAGCCTCAGCTTTCTTTAAAAAAGAAAAAAAAAATGAGGTAAGACTGCATCATTATTGGGCTGGAAAGAAGGCTCAGCAGGTAAGAGTGCTTGTTACTCTTCCAGGACCAGAGTTGTTAGGTTCTCTCTTTCTCACACACACATACACTCATACACATTCACGAATAGACACACACATATACAAAAATAAAACTTTTAAAATTCTGAACAAAGAATGTAGATCTAAAGAGATAGTTAAAGCAAGCACTAGCTGCTCTTGCAAAGGGCCCAAGTCTGACTTTCATTGCCCATATGGCATTTCAGAATCATCTACAACTCCAGTTCGTGGGAATCTGATGCCCTGCTCTGATCTCCGTGGGTACCAGGCATCATGTACATGGTGCACAGATTTATATATAGGCAAAATACCCATATGTATAAAATCACTTTTTTGAAAATGCGTTATTATAAGGATCAAATAAGAAGACAATCTTGGAGTTGTGCCTAGACTATCAATTACTGCTGAATCCAGGAGAAAAAGCTATCTCCTCTGGACTGACTCTCAAACATGTTGGTTTTCTACATGCTCTGCCCATCGCCTAGAACCCTAGCCTTAGAGAGAGGTGTACCACAAACTAGGTAGTGCTGGGGCTTTCTGTGGGATATGATATGTGCTCATTGGAAGCCAGAAGAAAGTAACAGAAATAAGAGAGGTTATAGCAGGGAGGTGGTGGTCCACACCTTTACTCCCAGCACTAGGGAGGCAGAGGCAGGTGGATCTCTATGAGTTCAAGGCCAGCCTGGTCTACAGAGGGAGTTCCAGGACAGTAAGGACTACACAGAGAAACCTTGTCTAGAAAAACAAAATGAAAAAGGAAAGAAAGGAAGAAAGAAAGGAAGGAAGGAAGGGGGCCCATACACTGGTCTTCCTTCCCAGGTTGCTCAGGCTAGCCTGGGTCCTGTCTCAGACAATACTCTTGTCTCAGCCTCCTACCACTGTTGCGGCTACAAGCACACGCCATTCCTCCCACCATCTTCCTCCCATTTTAGGTGTTTGGATCTGTAAGATGCCAAAGGTTGGTCTAGCTCCTGGGGCAGGCTGTGTGGGAAGATTCACATTCCAAGGCTGTGCATGCCATAGCCAGCCACGCACTCGGTGCTGGGGAAGAAGTGCCCTAAAGCAAGGTTTCCAGTGCAAGAGACCTGACTGGCCCATCAGGGGACAGCAGGGAGAGGAGCTGCTGCTTTGTGTTAGATGGTTAAAGGTCAAATAGAGAGGCTTGCATTGAGGGCAAGAGAGCCTCGGGCCAGTCACTTCCACCTCAATGTACTGGCACCATTTATCCTGACCAGCGTGGATAATAAACTACACTCTAAAGGGTTGCTGTGAGGATTAAGGCAAAACACTAGCAGAACACACAGTGAACACTCCACAGATGGGTGTCTAAGCTGTGTGCTCAAGTCTTGATTCCTTATCCTCTGGGCTGCCAGAGTCCTGACCTAAATAAAGGTGGCCGTGGCACAGGAACCTTGGTGTGCACATTCAAGTGAAGCACATAACCTCTCACTAGGCTGGACTTGGTGCTGAACTCAGTAATCCCAGCAGTGCGAGGCTGACGCAGATCAGGTCATCCCTGGCTATACAGCGAGTTTATAGGCCAGCCTGGGTTCCATGAGAACCTACCTTAAAAAACACTTGGGGGAGGGGGCATCACAAAAGTGGAGGAATATACTCAAACTACATTATATACTTGGCCGGAAAAGGGTCTTGGGCAACCTTGTATGATAAATTAAGAAAGAAATGGAACCTCCACCCAGAATCCCTTGCCCCAGTAGACCTTTCCTGCTTAGGAGATACTGACAGCCTACACTGGCAGGGCTCCTGAGGGGACCTGTTCTCAACCTGTGGGTCGCCATCCCTTTGGGGGATCAGATATTTACATTACCATGCACAATGGCAGTAACATTACAGTTAAGAAGTAGCAATGAAATAACTGTGGTTGGGGGTTCCCACGTGGCAGCATCAGGAAGGCTGGGAGCACCGCCTCAGAGCGTCAGTACAGCCCCTCCGAGCTGAAGAGATGCAGCCCCGGCTGCTGCAGGAGAGCCTCATTCGGCCCCTGTGAACACACAGGAGACGAGGGCTGCTCCGTGTGAAGTGTGTCTTCTGCCATTCCTGTCCCCTGAGTCTGCTAGAGCACAAGGCCCATGACAACAAATGTATTTATTTTCTCACCTTCACCTGGGCCCCTAAATCTTGTCCATAAGTTAAACTGTCCCTTCCCTATCAAGTCTACTGGCTCTGGCTCTTCTGGGATTCCCACCCCAGGCCTCAGCGAAAGGGGAGAAGAAAGAGCTGGCAAGGGTGGAATGAAAGAGAAGAGGGGTGGGGGAACCTCAGAGGCTCCATTTACAAGTGAATGAGGGTAAGAATGGAGCAGTTTGTGGGCTAAACTGGCCTCAGAAGGAGGTTTACAGATGTGTGAGGGGACGCTCCTCATTGTTTAATTAAGCAGAAAGTGGATCTTTTCAAAAGCAATTTTGCACAGGGACTGGGAGGGAGGGGAGAGGAGGAGGTAGGAAAGGGATCAGCAAACAGGCCTGGAGAGCAGAGAAAGGAACAGCTGGCCCCAGAGAGGCTGTGAAATGCATGCTAAGCAGTTTAAAGCACCCAGGAGCTGCTGCTCAGCTCCTGCCCTCCCTGGCCAGCTACCTTTTAAGTTGACTTGAGTAGGAAGGAGTGGGGCTTGCCTGTGATGGTGCAGCAGAGGAAAAGGGACAGCCTGGGCTACACAGAGAAAGCTCCTGGTTCAACCAGTGGAAATGGCAGCTACTTCTTGGGTTAAGCACAAGCAGGAAGCAGAACAATGAAGGCATCACCGCTAACAAGAGGGATAAATGAGTACTACGTAAGTGACACTGGCTGGGTGTCTAGTGAGTGACGCGGGGACAGAATTGTGAACGGGTGCGCTTTTTTCTTTCAAGCAAACCTAAAGAGGAAATAAACCCCCAGGTTCACTTCCCAGCACCCACATGGTGGCTCACAGCTGTCTGTAACTCCACAGTTCCAGGGGACTCAACACCCTCACCCAGACATACATGCAGGCATAAAATCAATGTCTATAAAAAATAAATAAAAGAGGAAGTAAACTATAACTTGTGGTATTTTATTTTGCATGTAGTCTCTTATGTATCCCAGGGCTGGCTTCAAACTCTTCATAACTTTGAACTTCTAGTCATCTGCCTCTGTCTCCTGAGTGGTGACATTACAGGGTCACACCACCACACCCAGTTTTAGGCCTGGTTAATTCAGTGCTGGAGATGGAACAAAGGACTTTATGCATGTTTAGCAAATCGTCACCTAAGCAACACCTTCAGCCCAAACAGGTATTTTAAATTCTCCTTGGAGACAAGGTCTCACTACGTAGCCCTGACTGTCCTATGTAGATGAGGCTAGCCTTGAGCTCAGAGATCTAGCTGCCTCTGCCTCTAGGGCGCTAGAATTTAAAGTGAGCATCACGCCTTTAATCCCACCATTTGGGAGGCAAGAGGCAGGAGGATCTCAGGGAGCTCAAAGTTAGCAGGTCTACAGAATGAGTTCCAGGGCAGTGAAACCATGTTAGCCTGGTCTACAGAGTGAGTTCTGGGACAGAGAAACCATGTTTTAAAAAACAAACAAACAGGGGCTGGAGAGATGGTTCAGTGGTTAAGAGCATTGCCTGCTCTTCCAAAGGTCCTGAGTTCAATTCCCAGCAACCACATGGTGGCTCACAACCATCTGTAATGAGGTCTGGTGCCCTCTTCTGGCCTACAGGCATACACACAGACAGAACATTGTATACATAATAAATAAATAAATATTTAAAAAACAAACAAAAAAGTGTCCTCATTACTATAGTGGTGAAAAAAAAAAGTGAGCATCAGTATGCCTGCTCTGGGATTTAAGGTGTGTGCCACTACCGCCTAGAGCAATTTTCTTCCCCGCTTTTTTATTACATTTACTTTATTATGCACACGTGTGTGTTATGGTATCTTTATTTGCTGAGCCCTCTTTTTAATTTAATTTTTTTTTTGAGACAGGGTCACTCTTCGGCTGTCCTGGAGCCTGCTGGGTAGACCAGGTTGGCCTCAAATTCACAGAGATCCTCCTGCCTCTGCCACTGAGTGCTTGGATAAAAACTGTGTGCTACCATGCCCAGCATATTTTTAAAGAGTTATTCATTTTCTTTATATAAATGGAGTTTTCCTATTTGTTTTGTTTTAAGACAAGGTCTCAAACTGGGCAATGGTGGCACACACTTTTAATCCTAACACTTGGGAGGCCGAGGCAGGCAGATCTCTGAGAGTTCCAGGACAGCCAGGGCTGAGAAATACTGTCTCGAGCCCCCCTCTACACACACACACACACACACACACACACACACACACACACAGACACACACAGACACACACACACACACACACACACACACACACAAGTCAAGGTCTCACTGTGTAGCCCTGGCTAGCCTGGAACTCTCTATGTGGAACAGGTTAACCTCAAAACTCAGAGATCCACCTAGACTTCCTGCCTTTGCTTCCCCAAATGTGGATTTAAGGTGTATACTACCACATCTGGCTTGTATGAGTGTTTTTCCTGCATGTGTCGGTCAGTGTACCTTATTTGTGCCTGGTGCGCAGAGACTGGAGGGCCTTAAATCCCCTGAAATTGGAGTTACAGATGTATGGGTGCCGGAAACTAAACCTGGGTTCTCTGCAAGAGCATTCAGTACTCCTCATAGATGAGCCACTGCTCCTGCCATTCCCCATGTGAAGATCAATCTCCCACCTCTTCTTGCAGAGCTGGCCAGGCCCAGCAAGGAGGGAAAACATACTTTCCAGTTTCTTCTTCCTTTGCTACTGGCCAGGACAATCCTAACTTTTTCCACTCATGCCCAGTGGTCCCAGAGAGCAGCCAGGAATCCAATACTCACAGGGTCCCTCTTGCTCAGGCAAGGTGACTTGGTGTTTTTTCACTCCATCAAACAGGAGCTCCGCACCACCTCTGCAAAAGAGGGCCAAAGACAGATAGCTGGGTAAGTTACTGCTAACAGGACTGAGACGAGCCTGACAACCTGAACTGGGAACATGGCTGGTGAGGAAAGATGAGACGCAAAGACCAAGGTTCAGGAACAGCCTAGTTATAGTGACTTTGAGCTGTGGTAAAGAGGATGTAAACAGTCTCCACTATTAGTGGAGAGCCCAAGCCTACAGCCTCCTTGCCTTTGCTTTCTTGAGGGATAGTTTAGTACACAGCAGTAGAACCCAGGCTTCAGAGCTGCCAGTCCCAAGAAGGAAATCAGGCTCTACGTCTGCTTGCCAGTCAGCCCCTGGCCAAGTACCCACCTTTACAAGCTTTGATTCTACTTCTAAAATTGCTGAGCTGCCCTTCTAGGGTGCCCTGGAGACCCCGTGCATTTCTAGCCAGGTAAGGGTAGAAATAACCCTGCTCCTGTTCACCTCTATGCCCTTCTGTGCACACATCACAGCAATAGGGGTAGAGAGAACCCACTGGGCTCAGCACTAAGTACAGCTGTTCACATCACCTCGTCAGTTACAAGATGACCCTCATCCCATTTCATCGTCTGGCCATCCCAGCAAAGGAGGAAGGAGGCAGACATTGTTAATTCCATATGAAAAAGTGGACTGAAGCCCAGAGAAGGTAAGTAAACCCAGAGCCCTTTCAAAAAGTCCCCCAAGGGTAGAGTTCAACTTGTTTCTGCATCCCAGCATCTGGTCAAGGGATAGTCAAGACAGCAGAGATGCTCAAAGCCGAGTTCGGAAACCAGGACTACTGGTGTGGGCAGTAGGGCCTTCAGTGTTCCACACTATTTCTTCTTCTGCTTTCCTAATTCCCATCTCAGACTTCATGTTGTCTGAACTGAGAAGGCCCTAACAGACTTTTGATGGATGTGGTATGTCCCTCCCCACCACCCTTTCCCAATCTCGGGGAACAGAGATGTCCTGAGGCAGCCCACTAGGAGGCAAAGGCAAGGCAAACATTGTCCTGGGGGAAACATGGGGGACTATCATCTAAACAAGGTCACGCTTTGTTGATGCAGAACCGTGGAGGGGGAGCAAAGGCCCATCTGTGGCTGTGCGCAGGGCCACCTCAGCTGCAAGCCCACACAGACCTCCATTTATCCCCTTCCAAGAGCCTCACTTTCTGCTGGGCAGGGGTTGGCACATGCGGCAGCTGGGCTGGGGGAGGGTGATAGGCGGGGAGTTCAGGATTTGAGGGTCAGAGAAGTGGGGTGGGAATGGAGGCAAATAATCAAGAGTGGCCAAAGCTGGTAGTACCAGGCTCCAAGGCCAAGCCTGTTTTTCCTCCTACAAACAGATGAAGAGCGCATCAGTGAGGCTTCGAGTGACCCATCACTGCTGGGTGAGCAAGGCCTGGGGGAGGGAGGGTAGTGCTCCTTCCTGTCAGCTTGTCTGGAGTGAGAGACAGTGCACACCTAACCTCAGGACTGATTCAGAAAGGCAGACATGGGGGCTGTTTGAACCCCAGAGACCTTAGGCGAGGTCCTCTGTTTCATAGGATTTGCCTGCCATTCAGTCTTAACTAAGATCTGTCCATCTTCTCTAAATACCCCAATTCCCGGTGCATGTGTCCGCTAATATCAGTGACAGGTCTACATTTCAGTCACTTTTTCTTTTTTTTTTTTTGGTTTTTCGAGACAGGGTTTCTCTGTTGTTTTGGAGCCTGTCCTGGAACTAGCTCTTGTAGACCAGGCTGGTCTCGAACTCACAGAGATCCGCCTGCCTCTGCCTCTCGAGTGCTGGGATTAAAGGCGTGCGCCACCACCGTACGGCTTCAGTCACTTTTTCTAGTTGCTTTAAAACGTATCTATCTAGGCCAGGCAATCCCAGCACTTGGGAGGCAGAGGCAGGCGGATCTCTGTGAGTTCGAGACCAGCCTGGTCTATAAGAGTTAGTTCCAGGGCAGGCTCCAAAACCACAGAGAAACCCTGTCTCGAAAAAGCAAAAAAAACAAACAAACAAACAAACAAAAAAAAAACGTATCTATCTAAAAGCTAGGCATGGTATCACATGCCTATAATTCTAGCACTTTGGAAGTAGAAACAGGAGAAACAAGAATTCAAAGTCATCTTCCGGTACATATTGAGTTTAAGGCCAGCTTGTGTTACATGAAACCCTGCTTCAATGATCAACCAACCAACTAAAACCAAAAACAAAAAAAAAACTACCCATCCATGTTTAGACTCCATCGACCTTATAGAGCACAAACAGGCTCAAAATGAAATAAGGCCTGGCATACAGCAGAAATTTAAAAAATATTTGCCACACCAATGAATATGACTACTTCTCTGATCTTAATGGTGTATCCAGCCTTTCCAATACCTCCCAAACTCATGGAAAGGGAATCAAATCTAGGTCATTTCAGCCTGGAAGGAAGGTGCTCCAAACACACCTGTACTATACTTCCAATTCTACATGTACTGAAAACATGTTCTGCTAGGGCTGGGAAGTATAGTCTAGTTGGTAGAGTGTTTGCATTGCATGCAGGAAGCTTTGGATTCCACCCCAAGTACTGCATAAACTGAGCATGATGGTAGATGCCTGTAATTGCAGCACTGGGGAGACAGAGGCAGAAGGGGCAGAAGTTCTAAGACTTTCTCCAATAACTACTGAGTCCAGAGATATAGGCCATCTTAGATACCAAGCCTCAAAAGACACAACACAAAACAAAACCACCTCTATTAATAACAGTTCTGAAGGTATGCCAAAAGATGGCAGAATTGGTCCTAACAAGAAAGAGATGAACCAGACGGGATGGCGCACACCTTCAGCCCCAGCACTCAGGAGACTGAGGCAGACAGAGAACTCCGTCTACAGAGTGAATTCCACGACAGCCAAGGCCGTTACGTAAAAAAAAAAAAAACAAAAAAAAAACAAAAAAACAAACTGTCTTGAAAACACCACCCACCACCACCCCCACACACAAAATATAGAAAGCCTTCTAAACCTAACAAAGCTGGTAGCACCAAGAGGATCACATTTATTCTGGGTTCGGAGGCAATAATTTCTAGACTTCTAGGACCAGTGAGGAAAGAATGGGCACTGTAGCCCCTCTGAAAAATCTTCTCAGATTCATAGTAAAAGGGGAAGCATATCTGTCAAGTGACAGAGTTAATCAAAGGTCAGAGGTTAAAAAAAAAACATATCAGATGACATGCAGGGGCACATGCTATATCATGAGCTCTTGTCTCCAAATAAAACCAAATTGGGAGGACAGAGAGGCTTCTGGGTCTGGCAAGCATAGATAGATAGATAGATAGATAGATAGCCTTTCTGCAATGTTTGTGTGTGTGTATAATTAATTAATTCATTCATTCATTCATTATGGAGGATCTCTCACTATGTAGCTCAGCCTGGTCTCAAAATTAGAGATCCAACTGCCCCTGCCTTCCAAATAGTGTTGGGTTGATAGGCCTGGGCCACCATGCCCTGTGAAGCTGCAATTCTGATGGATCACTTATGTGGGGAGGTGTGCAAGGGAATGGACAGATGGGAAAAGAATGCTGTCCAGTCTTGCTGGAGCTCAATATTGCTCTTAGAGCAAGAAAGGCCGAAGCTAGAAAGGAAGTGACAGTGTATATCTGTGAACTCTGGAGGGCAAGAGTCTTATTTACCCCGCGACTTCCTGACTGTTGCCAGCACAGTGTCTGTAGACAGAATACATCTGAAGAATGACTCACTATGGAGAAACATTAACCCTGAGAGCCTGGAGCTTCTTCCTTTTCAGTTCTGTTAAGACCAGGCAGAAAGGTAAAACAGTCAGGAGGCCAGATCAATGTAGTTCTAATTGGATCCAAGCGGCCAGATAATATCATCAATTAAACTGCACTTAACATTCATGAGACTACCCCGTTCCAAGGGGCAGAAATGCTGACCGCTGGAGGGAACAGACAGAGTGTTATTTATCTTTGTATCCTCCGTGTCTGGCTCACTGCCTGGCACATGGTAGGCACTCAATAAATGACTGGCGAATGAACTACCCAGTGAAGAGAAAACATTAAAGGAACAGAGGGCATCCAATGGAAAGAAAGGCATTGGGAAAGAACTTTATGATTCTATCCTAGAGTTTTCCCTTACTTAGCTTGTTCATCTACACACACACACACACACTAGCTTTTCCATATGATTCTAGAAACAACCACCCACCCATCTCTAGAGGCCTCAATCCTTTGTCTGTTCTCAAATCCAAAGTCTGTCTTCTGCACATTTGAGCCCATGACAGACCTTATGTGTGCTGGAAGAACAAAGTAGGGATTTGGGGAGATTTTCAATTTTCCCTGTGTTCCTTCAAGGAATGATGTACATCCCAATTGTGGAACGTTTCATCTTGGGCACACTATACTGCCAATGTTGGTCGCTCCCTCCGTGGTTGGTATCTGGGCTCCACATCTGCAAAAGGCACTCATCAAACTACTTTGAAAGCGATTCGGGTCTGATTAAAACTCTCTCACGTGCCGGGCGGTGGTGGCGCACGCCTTTAATCCCAGCACTCGGGAGGCAGAGGCAGGCGGATCTCTGTGAGTTCGAGACCAGCCTGGTCTACAGAGCTAGTTCCAGGACAGGCTCCAAAGCCACAGAGAAACCCTGTCTCGAAAAACCAAAAAAAAAAAAAAAAAGGAGCGCTATCTTGGCCACACCGTCATCCAAGAAGAAAGTAGGCGGGAACTGCCGCCCGAAGACAGAATTGGAAGAACAGGGAGACTCGTGTTCCCCTTAGGAGCCCAAATGCCAGGCAAGGTGGGTCGGGCTCGGAGTGTCACTGGTAAAACACGCTGGAAGATGACCTGCTCACTATCCACATGTTACCGACCGAGGAGGGACTGTCATCGCACCTCCCTGCCCGTGTGCGCCTCTATTCTCGGTCTTACGGCCTCGTCGCCCAGGGAGACCGCGCCTGTCAGAGGCCAGGCGGGTGGCCCAGCTCTCGGAGGATGACAGTCGCCTCGGAAAGTCGAGGGAGTTCCGACTTTCAGTCGCTATAGCTTCGCTCCAGCCCCACGACGCCCCAGCTCTCACTCACCCGAACTCCACCTCCACACACAAGGGCGCCGCCATGTTGAGGAAGCCAAACTAGCAGGACACGCCCTCCAACTTCCGGGGAGCCCACTTATTTCCGGTCGCCGCCTGGCTGCGTAAGCGGAAGAGACGGTGCCTACGGCTCCGGTGCTCTCCAGCTATTTTACAAAGGCGCGGTCCGAGCGCTGTGGGCTGGGGACCTGGTTGCAGACCTAGTTTCCAGAGAGCCCTGGCTGGAAGGGAGCGACTTCCTGAAGAAAGACGACTAAGGAAGAAGTTCATCAGCGTCCCGTGAGACGGTTGTGAGCCACGTACTGTTGATCTCTCATTGGTCACAAATCTGTTTCCAAGCCAGGCGTGGTGGGACACACCCTTTAATCCCAGCGGTCAAAAAGTCGGAGAAGGCGGATCTGTGTGAGTGCAAGGAGCTTCAGGGCAGCCAGGGCTACACGATTTTGTCTCAAAACCAAAATCGGACTGTCGGTGTTCTGTATTTCGTGTGTTTGACGGAGTAATACATGACCTCCCCAAATTCTTATTTCTGACCCAGTTTGCCTCGAGGTTATTTAGTTAACACTTGGTGTGCCTGGCATATTGTTTGGTTCTGTGGAGAGTCAGTAATAAAGAATGAGAGAAGTTTCTGCTGCTAGGTGACTCTGTATAGCAGTGAGGCTGTAATCAAATAAATGCTAATCGTGATGTTAAATGTGAAATTCCAAACGGAAATAAATTATCTTAAGTTATAGAATCTGTACTTTAGATATTTGTAAAAGAAAATGTCGGGGCTGGGGAAATGGCTCATCTGGTGAAGCGCTTGCTGCGCAAGTGTAAGGACTGGATTAAGATCCCTATATAAAATGGTGGACCGGAGATAGGTTAAGAGCACTGACTAGGGCTGGAGAGATGGCTCGGAGGTTAAGAGCACTGAATTCTTCCAGAGGTCTTGAGTTCAATTTCCAGCAACCATATGGTGGCTCAAAACCGTCTGTAATGAAAGCTGGTGCCCTCTTCTGGCCTGCAGGGATACATGCAGGAAGAATCCTTTATACATAATTAATAGATAAATCTTAAAAATATATATATTAGTTTGGTAATTCTTGTTTTATCCCTAAAAAAGTTGGTTGATATCAGTGCCAAGATGCAGGCCTTAGAAAGGTTTCCTAAAGAAAATAATGCAAGAATCTTCATCTGGCGATGGATGGAGATAGAAACAGAGACCCTCATCAGAGGAATGGACTGAGCTCCCAAGGTCCAGTTGAAAGGCAGGAGGGAGAAGACTAGCAAAGAAGTCAGGACCAACTGAGGCAGTGTGCCTGTTCTAATGGGAGCTCATCAAATCCAGCTGGACCAGGTCTGAATGAACATGTGATCAAATCGGTCTCTCAGATTGTGGCTGACAATGGGGGCTGACTGAGAAGTCATTGATAAAGGCACTGGGACTTGTTTTTACGGCTTTTTGGGACCATAGTCTATATGGATGCACAGCTCCCTAGGCCTGGATGTAGGGGGGAGGGCCTTGGACTTCCCACAGGGCAGGGTTCCCTGCCCTCTCTCAAGCAGGGTGGGAGAGGGAGGAAGAGGTGTGGAGGAGTGGGAGGGGATTGGAAGGAGGGAAGGAAGTGCAAATAATTGAATAGAAAAAGAAAAGTAAAAACAAAAAAAGAAAAGCCAAAAAAAAAAAAGAAAAGAATGCAATTTTTTTTTTTTTTTTTTTTTTGGTTTTTCGAGACAGGGTTTCTCTGTGGCTTTGGAGCCTGTCCTGGAACTAGCTCTGTAGACCAGGCTGGTCTCGAAATAATGCAATTTTGACTGATAAGTTACAAGCTTTAGAAAAACTTATTAAAACAGATAATAGAGATATTCAGATAAAGACAGAAAAATTTAAAGGAGAACCAACCACACCATTACTTTATAAATTAGAAACAGCCCAAGGGTATCAAAAAAACAACTTTAATTTATCCAATCCCCATACAGGAATAACCACCAAATGACCGATAATATTGCCTATGGGAGAGCTCATAGGATTCTTGTGGAAATGTTAGATTTTAGGAGATTTTAGGAAGTGATAGTCTCATATGGTATGCATTCATCTTTCATGAGAGAGATGCTAAATTCACTGTCAACTAGTAACAGGATTATGCTACAAGACTGGGAAGGCAGCAGTATTGGAACCTGGTCTTCAATTACCTTGGAGGACCTGGTGGAAAGATGAACAATAAAGTAGGGCCAGAGGTATTGAAATTGCCCGAGACAAACTTCTTAGGGCGATTATGCTGACTTACAATCTGTATATGATGACCACACTTTGGCTCTGTGCTGTACAACAGCTGTGAATGCTTGGGGCAGAGTTGAAGAAGTCTGAGAAGTGAGTTGTTTATTAAAGTTGTACAGGGCCCAAAAGAAACTTTCACTGATTTTTTTTTTTTTACAAAGATTGATTTCAACTGTAAGTAGAATGATATCAGATCCAGAAGTTAGACAAATATTAATTGAATCTTTGGCTTTTGAAAATGCTAATTCAGAATACAAAATGGTGATTAGACTTTTAAATGCAAGATCAACACCAATAGATGAATGGATTAGAAAAATTATTCATAAGACTAACAAATGCTTTTCATTTGACCAGAGCTAACTTGCCAAAAATGAAGCTTCCCAAAGGTATGGTTGAGGCAGGGTTTTGTTTTTATCTTTCCAGGAGAATGAAGGCATCCAACCAAGGAACTGGAAGACCACTGTACCTTTTTCTGAAGAAAAAGGTGAATCATCCAGAGAAAAAGTCCCAAGAAAAAGTGTAAATTGGCCTATTGGTATATCACATTTCCAACAGGATAAAATTTCACAAATCATCCCAAATGTTTATTTCTGGTGTTCTCTACAGACATAATATGGCAAATGATCTTTTTGTAGTCCCAGTTCAATTTAAAATTAAAGCTGGTGGCCAGACAGTTGTGGCTCACACCTTGAATCCCAGCACTCGGGAGGCAGAGGCAGGCAGATCTCTGAGTTCAAGGCCAGCCTGAACAGTTCCAGGACAGGCTTCAAGCTACTGAGAAACCCTGTCTCAAAAAACAAAAAGAAAGAAAGGAAGAAATGCTGCAGAATCCTCGGTGGCAGTAGGCAGCAGAAATGCTGTAGGTCCCCAAGCAGTGGTAGCGGCCATGTGGCAGCAGGCAGCGGGCCCTGAGAGCAGCCAGTCCCAGGCAGAGATGGCTACCGGTCCTCGAGTTAGTGGCTGGTCCCAGGCAGGGAGACACGTGGCAGGCAGGCAAGAGACAGAGACATGGATAGGCATGACATGCAGAGTGAGGTTGGATATTTATTCAGGGGGCTATGGAGGGGGAAGGGAGAAGGGGAGAAGAGGAAAGAGAGAGAGCGCGAGAGAGAGGAGAGAGAAGAGACAGAATGGGGGGAGAGGTGGGGAGAGAGGCAGAAGCTGCCTCTCCAAGAGGAAGACTGAAAAAGAGAGCGAGCTCAGGCCAGAAGCTGAAGATCAGCCTGCCTCAGTGGATGGGAGAGGGAGTGGGCATGGCTTGTCTCTTTTTTTGCTTGTTTGTTTGTTTGTTTGTTTTTTCGAGACAGGGTTTCTCTGTGGTTTTGGAGCCTGTCCTGGAACTAGCTCTTGTAGACCAGGCTGGTCTCGAACTCACAGAGATCCGCCTGCCTCTGCCTCCCAAGTGCTGGGATTAAAGGCGTGCGCCACCACCGCCCGGCCATGGCTTGTCTCTAAAAGAGACAAAACAATCATTACACTCAAGATAATTAAAAACATTAAAATCAAGGCAACATCCAGGGGTGTTAGTGGAGTGCTAGCCTTGCTCAAAGGTTTGGTTCAAACCTAGAACCCAGTGTGGTGGTGCTCACCTGTCATTCCATCAGTCCCAGTGGGAGTCCTGATAGGTACGTGGTGAGTGCCAGCTCAAGCTTCACCTGAACAGAAGTCTCAGGAAGGCAGCACTGAGCTTCCGCTCCAGGGGACACTTCACGGCAATGTTTAACCTATCAGTTAGATACAATACAGGCTCAGCATTGCGTTGTCTGAAAGAGCGTTTACTGAGCTCTGCCAAGCCCAGGTCCGGCTGCTTTACAGCTAGAATACGCCTCGCATATTCCTCTCAGGTATTCCCATTTTTCAGATGACAAAACTGAGTCCCAGAAAGCTGTGCCTCTGAGATCCCAAGGCCTGAGTCTCAACCAAATAACTTTCCCCTCGTACCCCATGCAGTGTAGGGGTGGGGGGGAGCGGGGCCCAGCCTGCCAGCCAGTGCGTGGACCTCCATCCTCTCTGAAGCTCCGAGGGAGACAATGGCGGGGTCGCGGGCGGAGGGAGGGCCCGAGTGCCCCCCTGCCCGCCACCCTTTGTATTCCCGCCTGCCCCCTCGCGCGCTCCGGGAGGCTGGGAGGCGCCTCTCGCAGGCTTCCTCCTCCCATTCTTGTGCTAATTGGGTGTCAAGCTGAGATCAGTGAGAAAGAAATCCGCCCTGGCTCGGGTTAAACTGCCGCCAAAGACGAGGGCTGAGCCCAGAATCTGATTAGGCCAGGAGGAAGCCGCGGCCCGGGGGAGGGGTGGCTGTGCCGTCAGGCACCTTTGAAAGTCACTGGGTCGCCCCCTACCCTCGCCACAGCCCTCCGTGGGCCTCTGGAAGGTATTTAACCTTCTTCTTAGGAATTGAAAGCGATAGCCACGCTGGCCTGGGCAGCCACTTGCCTGTCCCGAGCGCTGCTGGACCTCCAAGGATGCAGGAGGCTGGCCCCTTCCAGCAGCGCTCGGTGCAACACAGTGTGTGTGTGTGTGTGTGTCCGTCCGTGAGCGCGATGTGCATATAACTTGTGTATGAGCGTGCACGTGTGTTAACTCACGGTGTGCGTGCGTGCGTGTTGTGTGTGTACGTGTACTCTTGGCTCCGTGGTGTTTAGAAAAGTTTTACCAGTTCCAGCCTCCCGTCCCTCACTGGTGGGATGAGGATAAAATCGAACCTGATCAGTGTTTGGTGGCCATTAACAAGTTGACCTCAGAGGGAGATGGCTCTGGAGACGTGAAGTGCCATCAGGAAGCGTTCACTGCTCATACCTTTTAGCACCAACCCCTTCCCTCAACCATGCAGCTCCATTGGCCTCTCCTGTTTTTATTTGGAAGATTTATTTTTATTATGTGTATGTGCATTGCGTGAATGCAGTGTCTGCATGGGACCCACTGGAACAGGAGTTACAGGCAGTTTGGAGCCACTGGATGCTAGTGCTGGGAACAGAAGTCATGTTCTCCACAAGAGCAATATGTGTGTGTTGTTTCCTCCTCCTCCTCCTCCTCCTCCTCCTCCTCCTCCTCCTCCTCCTCGTCCTCCTCCTCCTTTTTTTGAGACAGGGTTTCTCTGTAGTTTGGAGCCTGTTCTGGAACTAGCTCTTGTAGACCAGGCTGGCCTCGAACTCACAGAGATCTGCCTGCCTCTGCCTCCCGAGTGCTGGATTAAAGGTGTGCCGTACCACCGCCTGGCGAATAATAAGTATTCTTAATTGATGAACTGTCTCTCTAGACCCTTATATTTCAAATTTATATATATATATTTTAATTTTTTAATTTATTTATTTATTAAAGATTTCTGTCTCTTCCCCGCCATCAAATTTATATATTTTTTAAAGATTTATTTATTCTCCAGGCCAGAAGAGGGCACCAGATCTCATTACAGATGGTTGTGAGTCACCATGTGGTTGCTGGGAATTGAACAAAGGACCTTTGGAAGAGCAGATAGTGTTCTTAACTGCTGGGCCATCTCTCCAGCCCCTCAAATTTATATTTTAACCACTATGATAACATCTTCTTTTTACCCTCTGAAATATAATCCTTTTTTTTATAATCCTACTTTTTTTTTTGTTTTGTTTTGTTTTGTTTTTCGAGACAGGGTTTCTCTGTGGTTTTGGAGCCTGTCCTGGAACTAGCTCTTGTAGACCAGGCTGGTCTCGAACTCACAGAAATCCGCCTGCCTCTGCCTCCCGAGTGCTGGGATTAAAGGCGTGCGCCACCACCGCCCGGCCTATAATCCTACTTTTAAAAAAAAGGTTTATTTTTATTTTATGTACATGAGTGTTTTGCCTGCATGTATGTGTACTATATATGGTGCTGAGAACCCACAGTCCTCTGCAAGAGCAGCAAGTTCTTTCTAACCACTGAACCATCTTTCCAGCCCCCCTGCCCCTTTATGGGGGGTTCAAGACAGGATTTTTCAGTGTAACAGTCCTGACCTTCCTGGAATTTTCTTTGTAGATCGTGCTGGCCTCGAACTCACAGAGCTCCACCTGTTTCTGCCTCCCACATGATGATATTAAAATTAAAGGCGTGTACCACCTACCACCATTCACTCCCCTCCCCCCACTTGGCAGTGTCTCACTATGCCAGCCTGGCTGGCCTGAAACTCACTCATAGATGGTTTTTAAACATAAAGCAAAGAAAGCCAGCCAAAAACCACAATCCTAGAGAACTTAGACAACAATGAAGACCCTAAGAGAGACTTACATAGATCTAATCTACATGGGAAGTAGAAAGTAGAAAAAGACAATCTACCCGCCTCTGCTTCCCAAGTGTTGGGATCAAGGTGTGCAGAACCACGCGCAGCTAGCTGGTTTACTGCTTCTTCTGTAGTCCTTGACCTAGTTAGTCCACCCAGAAAGACCTCCTGTTGCTCCGCTATGGTGGCACAGGCCTCATATTCCCAGCTAGGACTACACCGGGAGAACATTTCGTAAACAAAAGAGCACAGTGTACATCTGAGCCCAGCGCACATCTGGTCCATCTCCTAACCGTTGTGCTCCATGAGGTGGTGGATCTGGGGCCTGGATCTTGTTCTCAGGGCAGCTTTTAGAATCTGCCCCAGTGAACAGACCGGTGCTCTGCAGCTGATAAGCGGGAGGAACTCCCCGGTAATAGCAGCTATTGCTAGGTAACTGAAAGACCCGGATAAATCCAGACCCCTCTAGCAGAAAGAGTAGAGCCAAAAATCTAGGCTAGCCAGTTCAGTGACAATGTTCTGGGAACTAGCTGACCATAAAGTTAGATTATAATCTTGAGAATAATCTTGAGAAACGGGGAGTGTGATTATCACTTGTGATTATCACTTGTGATATATACCCTTGTGATTATCACTGGTATTTTCAGAATTTTCCAATGATCACTGGTATTTTCGGAATTTTCCAATGACACCCTCCCTACCCACTTTGGGCTGTGGTTTCTTCCCCTAAATACCCCCTCTCCCAGCTACTCGAGGTCGAACTCCTCTACCCGTGTGGGAAATTAGTTTCGGCCCCAGCGTGCTGGTTCCTGTCAATAAACCTCGTGTGATTGCAGCAAAGACGGTCTCTTGTGAGTTCCTGGGGGGTCGTGTTATCCCGAGACTTGAATCAGAGTCTCCCCACTCTGGGGGTCTTTCATAACTTTACAAATGTGTGTTGAACAACTACTGTGTGTATGGAGGGGGTTCACACAGCAGGGTCTGGGGATAACCAGATCAGATCCAAAAGCAGCCAGGTCCTCAAGGAGGCCTTGGGAGGAGTCTTACTTTGGAAGTGGGAAGGAAACAGCCTTGTTTCAGATGTTTTGTTTGATTACATTATTTGTTATCTAGTGTGTGTGTGTGTGTGTGTGTAGATTGGGTAAACTAGAGTCAATTCTTTCTTTCTACTGTGAGTGCCGTAGATCAAACCAAGGCTGTCAAGCTTGGCAGCAGGCATGTTTACCTGCTGGACCATTTTACCAGTAAGTTGGTTTTTTGTTTGTTTGTTTTTTGAGACAGAGTCTCACTGTGTAGCCCTGACTGACCTGGAACTCTTTGTAAACCATGCTGTCCTTGGACTCACTGAG